CCTATACGAATTTATGTCCTAATTAATGAAACATAGTGAATAGATTGTAATTTATTGAGAAACACATACAGTGTAAAGATTCGAATTATTTACCTGAGAACTACTACTCTGTGACAGAAATATGCTAGTTGTAAAAAAAACAAATTTAGAAAACAAATATGAAAATGTGTTGATGTTGTAAATATTGATTATTTTGTGCAAAACGGGAGTTTATTTGCGGAAGTTTACAATAGGCAGAGGTTTCGAAGCTACTGCATTTCTTTACCACAGATCAATCCGTTAACCGAAATTGAGCTTTGAAAGCACAGTTGGTGATAATTTATTTATATCAAATGGCAGGCGTCTTGATGGTTATCATTAGTCCTTTAGTTGACTTCAGGCTTCACAGAGGGGAAGGAACATCAAATTGAAAAAATTGGAGAGGGGGGAACAGAAGAATGTTTCAAAGATGTAAGAGACAAACACAAAGGTAGAGCAAAGGTGAGGTGAATACTGTGGAAATAGTCGAATATGGCATAGAGTGAGGTGTTGGTAGTTTGAATTGAGAAGTCAATTGCCAGTTAATAGACTTTTTGCCGCATGAACATACGTTGCCCAGGGTGCACCACGTGGAGGTAAGTCTATCGCACATCCTCAGTTGGTGATAAAGATGCCAGGAAACTTGGAACGAGAAATAAGCCAATCAAAATAGGCCCATAAAGCGTCCTTGTAGTTAATTCTCTTTCTTTGCTCGAAATGCTTTACTATGATTATAATTACCATAGAAATGATTCAACTAATTATAGAATTGGCGTATTTTTACCTCCTATTTCGTTTAAGTAAATCCACTCGTGCATTTATTTAAAATTAAAAAAGAACATTCGATGGACGGATTAAAGGTCACCTTGAGGGAATCCTTTTGAACTGCTCGATGGCTTAGCTGGGAAATACTTGCTACTTGGGCCCAAAATTCTTGTTGGAATGCTGTAACAAGACAGAAGTGCCATCACTACCCAAACTGTCAAAGATGAACAATTAGCTTTCTTCAGCAGTTGAATGAGAATAAGGAAATATTAATAGAGGCACATCATTGCCATGGCAAATGACAGTGTGGTCTCATTTTCTTGAAACCTAACAGAGCGCTCTCGAGATCTCAGAGATGTCAATGTTAAGACCATGGCAGTCCTAACCGCATCTGGAACTAAGCAGAAATCTTGAATTTAAGATTGTAGTCCAACAATTCGATTACCTCTTCTCGTGCCTAAATCGAATCGTGGAGTCATGCCTTTGTTAAGTTTCGCTAAATAAGCCAGCATGGCGGTTCATCGTTCCGTCTGTGGTAATTTTGATTTCTTGTCCACTTCTCTCTCCTTTCAGATTTCAGAACGCGTGTTGACATTAATCTCGCTATTTCTGGTATTTCATTCAATACTAACAGAATTGAATGCGCTTTTTACGCATAATTATCAGGTATTTTGACAGTCCAGTTTGCAAAAGAGATTTACTTGCGGCAGCTTGACCTATGTGTCTGTCTAGATTAGCTTAGTTATCCGTCCAAAATCCCATGAATAGACTAACTAACAAATTGCAAGTTCCTATGGCTAATTTCGATTAGAACGAGTGATAATTTCAGTGATATCAAGGTCTAAGGTGTTTTGCAATTTGTGTATGATTGGTTTCCCCCGTCTGGTTGGTACAATATAATCTCGTGACCTCGGGATCCTTTGAAAGCAGTCCCCCCCCAGTGCGATACCTTTCCAATAGCTGTGTCAATTGAGCAACAAATAATGGTTCGTCTATTAAAATGCTTTGTTTAACTAAACAGACTAGATGAATTGGTTGAAACTGCTTTAACCAGCATGCCATATCATTAATTAAATACATTTCACTGAGTATTGATTGCATGACCTCTAAATTGACAAGCATGCAAAGTTCCAGCCCTCCCACCCCTCAAAGTTATTTGGATTAATCAAAAATTCTAAACAAATAATGTCGATAGATTTATTTCAAAAAAAGAATACAGGCATCTACAATAATAAGTTAAATAATATATAAGTTGACGGATATGATCAATCGATTCTGATCGATCAACAGACCAACCAACCAATCAATCGATCGATCGATCTATGAAAGGAAGAACGCAAAAAAAGCAAAGCAAAGCTAACTCAAAAGGCAAGCAAGAAGCCAACAACTTAGGAGAGAATACAGGTTGAGGCCAGAGATACGAACACAAATTAGGGGTGAGAGGTCAAATAGAAAGGGATAGGGAGTAGATCAAATCAGAATTCTTCTACGCAGGAAACTGGAAAACGTCCACTTTTACCTCCAGCTTCTCCAAGCCACCAATTTGCTGTAGTCTTTTGGAGAATACTCACTATATCGCCTGAATTAAAGAAAATAAAACCACTTAAATAAGTCAGTTTTCATGAAGAGAAATCTGGGAAGATGGCAATTTACCACTTGATCTGCCTTTTAGGCACTACATGTGAAGCAAAAGAGACGATGAGACAATCGATTCTCATCCCCCTTGATCTCTGATTTGACAACTGACGTTTAAATGAAACTACCCTACTTGACAAGCTTGAAAGATGGCTATTGATAGCAAGTTTATTCCCAAATTACGAGTATGTAAGTCGGTAAATAATTAGACTAATTTTAAGCAGACACAATCGCACATGATCTATGCTTATTAACTTATAATAATTGATGGAAATTTATAAATATTCTAACACATTTAGTCAATCTTACAAAACGTCAATGACATCAAATTATTAAAAAGGCTTTCTTCAATCAGGCATGCTTGAAGGAACTTAAGCTTCAATTATCCAATAATCAATCATGCAACTACCTAGATTTAATTAGTAAAATACTAATAATTGATTCAGCGTTCGAAATAAGTAAGGCATTGTGTATCAGATACTAAATTCTTTAAAATAAAAAATCTGGATTTCTTATAGATTATCATTCTCTTTTTTATATCACCATCTCTAATTAATATCACCATCTGAAAAAACGAAGCATGTTTATTTCAAGTATTCAAAATAGAAATATCACTATCTACCAAAGTATACTTCAACCACATAGACGAAATTGCATCGAAAGTGTCAATGTATATTATTGTGGTTGAATTGAGTAATAAACTTCCATTCAAAATTTGAATCATTTCTCCAATTGGTATAAGGCGATCAAACGCTATAACCATAAGGTTGGTTAGTTAGGAACCAGATCAAATCAGTCAGTGGCGTATTAGATCCCACAGTCATGGACCCTTCCACTTTTCGAGGGAGGCTAATCCATACACCAACGAAGAAGATTCTAACATGATATGCTGATAGTGAGAGAGCTTGGTAAAGTCAAAGAGAAATACCATAATCAAGGATTTTTACCAAGGATCGTGAATCAGATTTACTTCATAGATTTTAGAAATGCAATACAGTTTTATAAAAATGTAAGATAGAGATAGGTGCCCAAATCTACCCAATCTATGACAATTTGCGTTCGTCCCGAAAGATGAAATGCCTAATTAATCGATCAATGAATCATTCAACTGGCTACCGCAGAAACCCACGAACCACCATACCCCCCATTCAATTGGTTGCCATTTGGTTGTTGGTTTGGCATTTAATTGTCATTTAGTTGTAGTGGGATGTTGCTATAGGCTGCAGCAAAACTCCCACCCCTACCCCCCTCCAATAGCCAATAGCAGAATACTCCGTCATTGGCATTTGCAATATCCACACAATGAATCATCTCTTGTGGGTTACGCATGGGTACCTCATTTCGTATAAACTCCCATTAGTAGAAGGACCAGGTTTTGGAATCCAGAGAAATTAGTACACAAGTATTCATTAAGCGTTTGCATAGATGAGAATTTTACAACAGAAATAGTTCTATTTACAAGCCCAATTTTACTTGTGCTGGTCCAATAAGCAGAGACCTAAGCTTTAAACCTTCTTAAAATGCAGGCGGTGAGGGGGGGGGTATAATTTGTTCGGCGGATTTGCTGCTCAGCTCAAATTGGAAGAAAATGCATCAGTGTTTTCTGGTTACCTTCAGGATAAGATGATGACATTCCACCAAGCGATGGTTAAGGACGTAACATGTCCTCATTACAGCAAATCGAGCACATAGCAGATAAGACATTAGCCTAAAGAATCCTATTTCTATGAATCGTAAAACCGATTTCAGTAAGTTCCAACTACAAACAGTATTCAATAAGATTAAAAAGATTGCTAATATCTGATAAAAGATGTCATACATTTTATTACTAGGTTACTGAAAAGTCAAAAGGCTGCCATAAAGATAAAATAACGTTAATTGAAATTGACAACTTTGACAAGCTCCTAAATGAAACAAAGCAATAATAAAAGGCAAAGCAGAGGACAACTTGGTAATACCTCAACAGTCAGGTCTAAATGACTTTATTTAATCGATTTAAACATTGTTTTTTAACCCCAGTTTATAAAATTACTACTTAAATCTAGAAACTTTAAATAAGTGCAATGATCTACAATTTTTATTATATTTAAATAAAAACCCAAATTTTAATGTTAATCGTCTTGGATAGTCTCTCCACGTCGTGCTCCAAGACAAGCACCACTCTGCCATTGGAAGTGTTCACAGCGATTGTTCTAAGTTAATAGACGGTATTCCGGAGCCGCTCACTCAACTATCAAATGTGTTAACAATCGGGGTGGATGTTCACCCATCCACGATTGGAGATACACCGTCGATTTCATCGGAGACAAACCCCCTTTCAACACTCATCAAAGGCAAATGAGTGACACTTTAACGCACTTCTGCCAAGAAACTTGATCTACCAAGTCAATTTTGCCAATTTCTAACTAGTAAGGTTTTCTTATTCGTTACTGGTATCAGCCCCTGGTCTCTAATTTGGGCAGAAGTGCGCATTGGCCACGAGGAAGGGCTTTAGAGATAAGTACCTATAGCGGTAATTCCGATCTTATTTAATTGCCCGAATTTGCCTGAAATTACCTTCCAGCAAGGCAAGCTCCCCAGGATTGCACGGCGAATAGTCGGAGACAACTTTTGCCCAACCAATGCAACTGAGGCTCGCTAGAGAAGGCCACATTTGTAGGGGATCTTGTGGATCTTTTGGAGGTGAAATTGCCACTGCGGGAGTATCCCCATTCAAATATTCAGGTGCCTCATCTTTATTAGAAGTGCAGTTATGAGTAGATCCATCACCATTAGGTTCCACACGCCACGGGGTTACAATCTGCGGCCGTTGATTCTTCGATTTTTTATTGCTTCCAACTGCCAAACGCGAGAACAAACGGGACTAAAGCAGTAACCAAGAAACGAGAGTTACATAATATTGAGACTAGAAAAGAAAGAATTAGTGAATACATACTGAACTCTTCTTCTTTTCAACTGGGTTTCCTTCTTCAGTTTTTGCTGTCGTTGTGTTGGCCTCCTCTACTAGCATGGCCTCTAGCTTGTCTCCGCAACCATTGACACGCTCCAGGGTAATCCTCCTTTTCTCCTGGACCGTAGTCTGCAAAGCAGCCTGTGGCTGCACAGCTGGAAGGGTTTTCTTTAAATCTTCCTCTATATCCTCTTCATCCATAAATGCAGGAGAGTCGTCTAAATTAGGCGAAAATGCTGGGATCTGAAAGTTAAAATTACGCCTACTTAAATGTTTTCAGTAGGCAGGTTAACGAAAATAGATGTAAGTTCGAACTTGCATTATTTGGTGTGGGGGACTTGGTCAAGGATTTGGACCGAGAGATGTTGAGTGGTTTCGATTTCGAAATTGTTGTGGTGGTTTTGGGAGTGGGTTTAGTGGATTTCGATGTCGCTGTTGTTGATGTAGACGTGAGTATTTTCCGTTCGGGTTGCTTGACTGGACTGGAAATAGACTGTCTGGAAGTGGTTCTTTTAGCAGGAATTGTGGATGAGACTAATTTAGTCGTTTGAAGAGTCGATTTTGGTGGCGTTCGAACTTTCGAGGGAGCTACAATCTTTGAAGGGGTTGAATTAACTAGGGGTTTGGCGCTAGCTTGGGTCTTTTGGCTGGTTGTTGGTGGAGGTGGGGAAGACATCTGGGAGCTGATATTTCGAGAAACAGTTCCTGCTGATCGCACTGGGAACCTTTCGATCTAAAAGATTATGATATAAAATCCCCACGAATTAATAGTTCTGAATGTACTATAATCATTAATCAAAATTTGACTATCTTAATTCACCGTGGTCCTATTCGGAGACGTTACCGTTTTCTTAACTCCATTTTCCGACTTTGTTGAATTTCCATTTGTCGCAACAGGCGTTAAAATCTGATAAGTCGAAGTAGGCTTATCAAGCGTCAGTGGGACAGATTTAGGATATCCGGTGCTCTTTTCATCAAATACGTCTTCATCGTTGCTACTAACGCCCTCAACATCGTCGTCATTGTCTTCAATAGATGAAGACCCTCCAGTTGATCCAAACAGACTATCAGCTTGAACAATCCAGCTAAATCGCGATTTATCATTTACAAGAAGAGGGTTAACAACATCCAATTCAGTCAAAGGTATGCTTTCAAGATTTGAGACTTCCAGAGTAACTGGAGGCCATTCTAGTTGGATAGAAGGTGGATGTGGAGGAGTTGAGACGTCTACACGTCGTGTGAATGTCTGATCTGACTCATTAGGGGCGAAACCAGCGCCAAGTAGTCGATTTTGAAGGGAATTGGAATGAACCGAGGAGGAGAGATGATGAAAAATACAGGCTAGACGTGCACGACAGGCAAGAAGATGGCCTAGACGACATCGCGAGGAGAAGAGACGCCGCCGCGCTTCAATTAAAGTGGCGTCATCAGTGAACACGGGTTTTGAGGAATAGACTGTTACAAGATTTGTCAGACCTACAAAGTTGAAAAATTGGACTTTGAGTTTGTTCTCCTGAATGCGCAGTCGTCTCAAGATATCTTTTACGCCTAATAGTAGGGCCCATTTATTAAAATATCTATAAATTATCATAGAAGGCAAGACCAGGCTGTGATCTATGGTTGAATTCCAATAATATTGCTAGGCATGTCTGGTAAATATTGCAAAAAAATACGAGAAGACTAACCCCAAGGAGCAGTGCTTGAAAAAGAGGATTTGTGAAAAGCTACGTTAGCGAATTCTAGTAGGAAATCCTATACACAAAACTTCAACATATGAGACATTTTCCGTTCTGCACCAACGAAATATCGACTTAGTTGGCTAAAATTTCATTCAGAAGGCAATTTACCGAAAAAACACAGCGTCCCAGAAAAATGCACTTGAACTTTCTGCAGCAGTCTGTTTATGCCAAGCATTAGAGAAGGCTTTGAAGAAGAAGAAGAGCTTTATTTTCAGCAAGATGGGGCACCCCCACATTACCATCGCGATGTTAGGTCTTTCCCTGTTGAGGTCTTGCCAAACAGGTGGATTGGACGAAGGGGTTTTGTTGAATATCCTCCCCGTTCACCAGACCTCATCACACCACTAGATTTTTACTTATAGGGATACTTAAATGACAAAGTCTGCACCACGAAACCTCCAACAGCCACTGAATTAAGTGAAACCATTGAGCATGAATGCGTCCAAATTCCAAGGGAGTTATTTCATGATGTGTGCGATTCTATTTCTTGGCGTTGGCAGCAGTGTCTGGTTCCAAATCGATGTCAGTCTGAGAACAAGCAGTGAATACAAATAGAATCCTGCTTGTAAATATTATCAAGCTTTGAAATAATAAAATTCGAATTGAGCTTCACGGTCACAATTAGTTTCAGTGTGTATAAATTTTTTTGGGACACCCTGTTTATAAACTCTTGAGCAAGATGAAAGAAAATTAAGGGAAGATTAGATTCCTGGCTAAATCTATTGTGAAAGCTATAGAGAGTTCGGGCAAGATAAGGGAAATTCAACCCCCATTATTGTATATAAAAGCGGAAAAAAGACTCTTCCGTATTTCGAAAGTAACGAAATCGAGTAGCCTCCTTCATATTGACGTGAATCCCACAAAAGACAAGTGAAGTTCCATGAGAGTCCAGGGTAGAAATATATTCGACTTTTCTTTGTGCAAATTGGGTGCTGATATCAATAAGTGCAGAAAGCGCACCAAAAATTCCTAATTAAATCGAGTAATGAGGTAGAAAATGAAACATAAATTTTCAAAAGCCAAGTGGAATATCAACTTTATCTTGTCCGGTTGTTACAATGTATAGAAATCTTATAAGTATCTTTAACAGGTGTATAAGGGATAGTTAGTAAAAAAACCACAATATACCCTGTTTCGTCCTTTCCTCCTTCTGGCAGTCTCGAACAAGGATTTCAAGAATGGACACCAGCAATTGGCGGGCGAATGCAGCTCTCTCAGATTTCTTTGTGGAAGCAGCTAATTCATCATCGTCATCAACTGCAGCAAAGTCAATAAATCAAGTAAAAATATATATGACTTATATATAATAAGTAGGTGACATGCGAACGCACTATTGGGAACCTCTTCGGGAAATACTAGGAATTGTTTTTGAAGGGTTTTCCTGATATTATGCCGATGGATTGCCTCCGAGGGCGCATAAAGACTATCTTCTTCACCGGGAAAACTGAGCAGATTTTGCTGGGTTCGACCGACAACAGCCATTGGCTGTGGTTTGCGTTTGTGATGAAAGCCTAGACTGTGATTGGTGAGGCGGGAGGGCGTTGTATTGCTTGATTGATCCGAAGTAGCATCTGACTCTGGAACAGCTTTTCCATGGAAAGAGAGAAAATCCTCTTCGGGATTAGCCTTTACCACTGATTCCTACAAAGGTTTAAGTATTTTAAGGTTGAAAGATTGAGCAATATTCGAAGAAAATGTGCCAACCAATTCGAAGACTTATAAATCCATAGTATTTGCTCCGAAATGGTCAATTTTATTATAAGTGGAAAATACAAGACGCGAAAAAGTTTTACGCCGAAAGTTATGCAATACCAATGAGAAATTGGCTATTTATGATCACAGTTCTAAACAAAAGCGACCCAAGATGATTTAAATAAGAATAATTAGATGTATAGGACAAATGTACATGTTTACCTTTGTGGATTTAAAGGCCGTGTCGATTATTTGTGAGAAGTTGATTATTGCCGATCGATAAGATTCCAGGATTTCGTGGAGAGTAGTCAACCTCAATCGTTCGAGGTCAAATAATTTGAAAGTATTCTATAAAAAACGATATTACCCAGGAAAAAAGGCTAGAATGATACTTAAATGTATTTAGGCAGATACCGACCTGATATAGAGCCGAATGCAGATCAATTCGAGCCTCCTCGCTGGCCATACTTGACCGGTAGAGGTCAAAAAAGGTTCTCCAAACAGATCTTGCAGCCTGAAACGGTGAAAAAAGTGATAAATCAACAGACTACCGAATAAAAGGAAAAATATACGCCCCTACAAAAGATTGGCCATTCGCGTTATAGGATCAAAGTGAATTGTGGTCCACCTTGTTGGCACATGCAATCATCCACACCGATGCGTATTCACAAATTTCGGCTAACGCTTTCCCTCTCTCTTGCTTATTGGTCAATTAACACTGAATCTTCCACCTCCAACTGCACTTGGGAGAAGGAGGGTAAATTCTTCCCAATAATACATTCAAATAGTGGCATTAGCAACAAAATTGTAAATTATAGCTCAAAGTAGCTAAGCGCCTTGCAGAAACGAGGATGAGGATAATGTTATCATCCGTTATGGAAATTTGAACAACTTCAAATGTTCTAGAAATTAATTGTGAAACGAGAAATAAATTTAGATTCGTCTCTCTTAAAAACTACTCCCCCCCTGATAGAAACGAGTTTTCAAATATCCTGAGGATGAATAAAGGACACGGTGGTGCCAAAAAATTTGTTTAAATACGATAAATAACTGGCAAATTTTTCGAGCATAAAAAGATGAAGGAAGATAAGGAATATTGATTCATCACGTTGAGTGAACATATTTTTCGAAGGTCTGAGAACTGGACATTTTTGAGCTCTTTTCTCAAACCAAGCACACACACAAAAAATGAAATGAAATGTCAAGACCGACTTGTTCAAATTAATTAACAAAAAAAAACAGTCACTAAACATCACTGACAAGAATTTGCTCCAATCCAGGGACGAACAGTAAAGTTGGAATTTCGGAATGCGAACTGCTAATGTAGTAAATAATGTATACACACAAAACCCAAAAAAAATCAAGTGAAGCACAATTACTGGGTGTACCTCTACTTTGACCTGAATTTCTTATAGGTAGTAATAATAATGGTAAAATTGTTAACATTTAATTCATGAGTAGAATGGTTGATCGTGATAGGAAAATCCGTTCGTCAAAGAAGATGATATAATTCGAGATTCGCACAAAAAGAAGTCTATACAAGATGAGAGCTGGAAAAGTCCATTTAAATAGATTTGGGGGGGGGGGGGGTATATGTTCAGTTGCTAGACTTAAAACAGATCTCTGTAACGCTTCAAGAGCAAACACAAAAAACTTCGTAGACATCAACCGAATTGCAGAATAAAATCGAAACAACCACTGATTTGACAACTGAATTCGAGAAAAAAATCTATACTGATTACCGAATGTTCTGGAACACTAACCTTGGCCGGTAAAACTGACTGACCACCAGACCCACTCATTTCCATTGAGGGTCGAGTTGTTGATAGAGTAGCCACTCTTCGAAGAGACGAACTCCTACCCAGTGTCCTGAAGGATGATCGAGATGAAATCGATGGACTTTGCGGTGTTTGCTTTCGCAGAAGGAGTGTTGCAGTTCTACTCCCACTGTCCACACTCCCATTGCCAAAGCTACTAGCCGAGTTATTGGTGGAGAGATTACCGGTCGCATTGGAGAGATTTTGACAAGTTAAGCGATAAACACTGAAGGCCTTTTTTCGGCTCTTCCATTCTTCTCGACGCACTGTTTGAAGCCGCGAAGAGGCTACTTCAACTTCAGTCGAAATCTAAAAGATGGCCAATAGTGCAAATTAACTATTAAATTAATAAGCATGTTGATTTTAACGCTAAGTGCGTCCGTGGGTAATTATCGATTTCTTTATTTTATACAGCAAAAATGTGCAGAATGTGCATTTTTAGTATGTGCTTACTCTGCGCTATTATCTTGTGTTTCCCTAACGTGTGTAAATTAAATGAGATTTACTAAAATTAATTGATTTATACTTTAAAATTCATCCCCACCTTTGCAAGTAATAACAAACAGTAATAGGCAATGCTAAGAGAGCTTTGATTGGGGGAGGGGGGGGGGGG